CACCCTGACGAGTGCCAATCTGGACAAGGTATGAGCAGGAAGTAGGGGCGACACCACGCGACGTCCAGCTGGGCGGGCCACCGCCACATCCAGCGCTCCCTGGTCCACCAGGTTTTTACTGCTGAGAGTGCTGCTGCACCTGCCGCTGAACCTGCTCCTGTGGCTGTGGCCATTGCTGCTGCTAGGACTGCTGTCGCTTCTGTGGTATGTAGCAACCAACTGGTCCAGCACCCCCACCCGTCGGACCCGCAGGCTCAGTACCGCCTCCAGTGCCGCCTCCCCTAGACGCACTAGTAGCGCCACCAACTCCACCACCCCCTCCACCACTACCGCCGCCCCTACCTCCCCTGCCTTGGGCCCGTTCACTAGCGACGGACATGGCTGCTGTCTTGTCAGAGGCAGGAGACGCAGCAGAGGCAAGAGAAGCAGTGAAGGTGTGGAGCTGTGGGACAGTACACCCCTGAAAGAGCGGAGGAACTACGGCGGCAGAATCGGAGGCAACGGAGCAGATGTTGCTCTCGATGTCCTTGAGAGATGTCTCAAGGACCTCGATAGTAAGATTAGTAGGGTGCTTCCGAAGAAGCGCGTCGCGTACATGTGCAAGGCGGCCAGAGAGGTTAGTGACTATGAAGTGAAGTCTGACGTGCATGGGCGGGGGGACAGCTGCAAGCTCAGCCTCGGTACAAGCAGCACGGTAGCTAGCGTCGAGCAAGCGCAGGTGAGTGACAAGGTCAGCAGTACAATGAAACGCTTGTAGGTCGGGAAACAAAAACGACATGAAGAGGCGACCAAGAGAGGCGAAGGAGGGAGTGGAGTAACGAGTCTTAATCGCAGCAAAACAGTACTGGGCAGATCGAACCTGGCTGAAGTGGGCCAACTTAGTCTTGGGGAGAAGGCTGCCAAGAACAACACGAGCCGCAGCGTCACTGACAGAGCTGTACGGGCCTGAGCAAAGTGTTCCCCGTCTGCGTCAGTGGGCTCAGAGGCAGGACTACAGGGCGGGGAGGCGAGGGCATGTCGCCAGAGGCGTGCGCCCAGTGCGTGTTACCATCCTGGCACTGACTCTGCATGTACAGCTTGGCGTGGAGGAGCCAGGTGGGAAAGTCTAGGGCTCTACCCTCCGCATCGAAACGCAGGACTCGAGCGGACGCCATGGCGAGTGCGCAGCAGGTCTAGGAGCGAAAGGCTAGGAACGGCCGAAGCGAAGAACGAAGAGAGGCTAGAGGTCTAGACTAAAAATGTCAGCCTAGGAACTGGAGACGCAGAAACGCTAGAGTGGAAGCGATCGATTAGGTACAACAAGCTAGGAACGGTAGTCGAGACACTAACCTTAATTCGCTCCAGCCGAAGGGACTGCGGCTACCAGCCGTTGCTGGTGGAGCCAATAGCAGGAGGAGTGTGGGAGGCAGTGGGCACTGGTGGATTGAGGTATGCTGCAAGCAATTGGCAGATTTGGGTGCCAACAGGTGTTGGGCAGATGTGACGCGCGCTGCTGCAGTGGCGCGCACAGCTACTATGGCGCGTGCTGCTGCAGTGGCGCGCGCTACTACGGTGCGCGCTGAAGTGACGTGCGCTAGTGCTGCATTTGCTGCTGCTGTGGCACACGCTGCGGCTATGGACACGCTGCTGTAGTGGGGAAGCGCTAGGCAGCGCGGGGCAGTGCGGGGGAGCAGCAGATTGCACGTGCACGGCTTCGTGCGGGCAGCTGCGCGCACGCGACTATGCACAACTGGCTGCGTGCGAGGCGAGACAGGTAGTGGGGCGTCACGGGACGTGACGGGTAACGGGATGGGACGGGCTAAGCTAGGGTCTTAGGGTCCTAACTCGACGATGCCATATCAAAGTACAAACAACGGAATGATTGACTAGCATGAGGTTGGGTTACAAATAGTCAACCCTAAAAGGGTTGTACCCCCTAGAAGGTACCTCACTTTAGCCTATCATACAATTACAACATTTGACAACAAGATCCTAGGGTCTTAAAAGAATGGCACAAAAATAATTGGGGGGGAGGGGGGGGGAGGGGGGATCTTGACATATTTAATAAGACACGGGTCTTAAAGCTGCAGTATACATTTGTCAGCCGGGTTTAGGGTTTTTATTGTGTGCCTCACAGCTTTGGGGCAACTTTTCAAATTTCAAAAGTTTTTGAACCCAACCTTTCAAATGTATACTGCAGCTTTAATATGTGGCACACTTTTAGAAGGATTTATAGAACAAATGCATGTTTCCTGTTTATATTTGTGTCCGTTGTAATTTGCTTCGATTATGGGTGAGGGCACGAATGTCCCCACCCTCGGGCGTTTGCCAAGTGGCTTCACTCTCATCACTAGACTGACTCGAATCCATCAGCTTGGCAATGGCGAAAAGAACAAAACAAGTACTGCGCGATACACACGCGCTCTTATCAGAAGAGGGAAAAAATGTTGTCTCTTTGAAATCTCTTCAATTCTTAGAGAATCTCACATTCTTCCTAAGGATCCGTCTTATAATGATTTCACTAGAAAAGGGGGGAATAACTATAAGTGACACAAATAGAGTACCCATCCTCGTAATATAGACCCGGGGGTCTACAACTAGGTGGGGGGGTCTTTTATCCGAGGGATTACGGTAGAACAATCCAAGGGTGGGCACAAAGGTGCACATTAACAAGGATATAACTACCATAATAACAATCTAGACTAGCTAGCCTACAGGCAGATACAACAACATATATTTAATATGTATGTTTTGACACACCCCCTAACTGCCTGCAGGACATAGCTTGAAGTTGAGGAATAAGGGCTTGGCTGCAGGTGGAGGGAAATGGAATGTTGAAGTTGATGCGGATCGAGTAATTGGGTCATCAGTCGGCATGCTTTAGAATATGTATAGAGCCCCCTATAACGAAAATGTACAGGGACCTAAAATGGGTGTTGCAGGACAGTGGCTGAAAATCATTGGCAGTTGCTTCTCTTTTCAACAATGTATACTTGTAATAGGTATTGGTACATGAGTGTACTTTGACACGCTCGTCAAATCAACAAAGCGTGCAAGCAAACCAGATACTCAAGTGCAAGGCGACCGTCACAGTAAATTGCGTTACTCCACGATCGCAACATATAACACCGTAGCATTTACTCTTTAAGAAGTGGCATTGCGTGTATCAAGTTATATATGTGATTGTTTTTAGCTAGAGTGATGTGCCCCTTAGAGAGTACATTTCTTAGGTCTCGACACTTTTAACCCCCGAACCCTAAACAACTTTTCCTTACTTCGCGTCACACTCCATACCGCGTACACGACTGTTCCCGCCACTGCACACACAACATTGGCTTGTTGCCACCTCTCGACACTCGCCTCGATACTGTTCCCACCAACACGACCATCGCTCATTTGTAACACTTGATATTCGGAGCCACGACCCTTTTTCGGACCGCGCACGCCTTCACTTCCCAAATTATCACATTTTTTGGGGGTCGATGTAGACGTCCCTTTTTCGTCCCTCAGCGCCTAGCACCCCTGCTCGTGTGCTCTCTTGTAAGAACACACAGCCACGACCGAGGTTACTGCTGAGCCAGCCCGACACCCCGCCATGGACGGGACCGCTCGCATTCTGCTCGAAGGCATGATGCAAGAATGCCTCGACGATATTACGCGTCAGCTGCAAGAGTCCGCCTTCGAAATCACAACTTCAACGGTGGAGAGCGACTCGACACATCAACAGTTGACGACGAATGCGCCCGCACATGCACCAGCCCCAACTGAAGAACCCATCACCGTCACCTCGGGAGAGCCATCCGCATTACGCCACGATAGTGTGGGACAGCGCTCAGCTGAGGCCAGCGATAGCGCCACCCAGACCATGCCGGGTATGGAGCGAAGTCCATCGTCACGTCAGTATTGCGGCACTCGTCGGCAACAACGACATTGGTGAGCCGATGCCACTCAAGCCACAGCGCCCGGTCTGTTTCGATCCTAGCCAGCGTGGAGGTCCGACGGTTCAATCGTGGGTGTACACGATGAACGTTTTTGTTTACGCGAAATACGTCACGTCGAATGCAGCAAAGATTTGGTACGCCGTCTCATTGCTATGTGGGCCCGCCATGGACTGGTGGCGAGTTATCGTAACCTCGCCGAGCGACTACGAGCCACTGACGCAAAGGGAAAGGCCATCGGAGCCAGCTGTCACCTGGAGTTCGTTTTGCGAAGTCGCCCAATTCTGCACGTGGGATGCGTAGTGCGCAGGGCTATGGGCGCGCTTCGAGCCGATCACGGCTTCAATAACAGCACGCCAGAAGCTGCGCACTTGGCGACAGCTTGGGTCGGTTCAAGGCTGCACCGGCGGTTTTCTTGCGCTATGTGAACAGATCGGCTGCATGCACGAAGCGGAGCGAGTGGATCGTTACGTCAGCGGCTTGAAGCCGGAAATCGTGCAGGAAATTCTCCTATGCAAGGTCTCTAACTTCAATGATATCATGGCGCTCCGAGAAAATTCACATATTGCACCGCCCATGGCCGGAGTCCTACTACTACGGACAACGTACTCGGGGAACGAGGGAGCACGACACGGTACATGCCTGTTGCGACGAATGCCGCTGTCACGCCATCTTGGGGACGCTGCTTCGCGTGCAACTGGCCGGGCCATCGCAAGAGCGAATTATCAGAGGAGTTCAAGTGCCGAGGAGAAGAGAAAGGGAGAGAGTCTGGGAGGCAGGGAAACGCCAGCTGTCAGTAGAGTACGGGCCCACTACTGACGAGACTCACTGGTCGCCCAACCGTGCTGACCCTCACCGAGTGACTGTACCGATTCACACAATCGATCGGGCTCGGCTGAATAAGGAGGGTACAACGACAGATTGCCGAGTACTGGTTCACGGGAAAATACAGGAGACAGCAGTGAACGTTTTTATTGACGCAGGGGCTAGCCACAGCTTAGTTAATACCGCGAATGCAAGAAAACTACAACTGACACGTAGCCGCTGCCTACTAGAGACGATGCATGGTTGGTTGACGGCACGCTACTGGCAATAGGGGAGAAAGTGGAGAGAGTGAAGATTCTCTATGGGGGGATGCTCGGATTTACACAGAAAATTCTCTCGACAACGCTGGATGGGACTGGCATTTTAGTGGGACGTTATTGGCTGCGACGGTATAACCTTCAAATGGACTGGACGACAGGCAGATGCACTGTGCAAAGCGGCCGTAACTGGCTCGCGCTACCTCGCTTGCAAGTCGCCTGAGTCTTCAACGGTCCACGTGAATGCCATCACAATGAAACGGGCCGTCGCTTCAGGAGCTGACGTGTACGCCGTGGACATCACGGAAGTGGAAGAAGCCGAGAAGCCGAGTGGTTTTCAGACACTTCTGGCAGCCGTACAGCCCGAACTACGGGAATTACTGAAACGGTACCCCGTAATTTTTACCGACGACTTACCGGAGGGACTGCCACCTCATAGAGTTGCAACCGGGGGCACATCTGACTGTACAGCGAAAATTTGGACTGACACAGCCCGAGCCGGAGGAGCACAGGACGCAGTTAGATTATTTGTTAGAAAGAATGTGTATCAGGCCGAGTTTGTCGCTGTTCGACGCACCGATACTGTTTACGCGAAGAAAGGCAGAGGTTTTTGGCATGTGCATAGATTACCGAGCAATGGACATGGTTACCGTCAAGTCGCAATATCTCATCCCCGCGCCGACGAACTGATTGACCGACTGCAAACAACTAGGGTTTTCTCGAAGATCGACTTACGCGGCGGCTACCACCAGATCCGAGTCGAACCAACACACCGCGAGTGTCAGCAGTGGCAAAGACCAAGTCGTCGACGTACACAAGGACGTAGAACGGCGGCAGCGAAGTGTCGGTGCGTAGAAACAGCGACGGGTCAGCAGTCGAAGGAGCAAACCCAAGAGCCGCAAGCGTCGTCCTCAGTGTGTCGTGCCACTTGCGAGGCGCCTGGCGGAGACCGTAGACTGGCCGCCGGAGGCTCCACTGGGTACCAGGAGGAAACGACCCAGTGAAGCCAGGTGGGCGGCGCAGCCAGATCTCCTCGTGCAGGCTGCCCTGTAGGAAAGGAGTGCTGAAGTCAAGAGAGTGAAGCTCGTAGTCACGCTGAGCGGCGACGTGCAGCAGAACCCGAAGAGTGGTCATCTTCGGGGTAGGGGAGAAGGTCTGGAAGAAGTCAACTCCCTGTCGCTGACTGAAGCCTCGTGCAACGTAACGCGCCTTGAAGACAGGCGGAGAACCCGGCAGCCGCTTCACCCTGAAAATCCACATGCCACTGACGATGTTCGCCCCAGGTGGGGGAACCTCGTCGACGTAAGTGCCTGTAGACTTCCAGGATGCCATCTCTGCGTCCATGGCTGTCTGCCACTGAGAGGAGTAGGGACCCTCTATCGCCTCTGCGTAAGAGCGCGGAGTCGGGATGCCTGGTGCATCCGGGTCTCCCTCAGGTGCAATCAGGATGGACACGAGATGAGGTACAGCAGCTGCAAAACACTCAAAGTCCTCCTGCCTGTCCTCAAGGACGTCCGTGCCAAGAGCACACTCACCCCCGACGGACGGAGGACAGACAGACTCAGACTCAGCAACAAGACTAGCGGCGTAGTCGAGACGACACGCAGCAGCAAAGTCAACAAGCTCAGCAACAAGGGCAGACGCAGCAGTAGACTCGAACGAAGGGTCAGTGACAACAGTGGCGAAACGACGCGTGACAGTAGGACTGGCAGCACGAGCAAGGTCTGACGGCGGGTCAGGGACGTCAGGAAGAGAGGACGCAGGAGGAGACGGCAGAAGGACACGCTGTGGAGCAGTGGAAGGACGAAGTGCCATCTGGTGCGTGCCTGGGACAGGGGGAGGACGCTGACGCGGAACACGACGACCAGTGCAAACAGCGCGAACAGGCGACGCAGGACGAGACTCAGGCTCACGACACTCCGTAAGACCTCTAGTCGGCCCAGAGTAAGGAGAAGGACCAGGCAGTGGAGAGGCTGGCTGTAACTGCGACTGCGACTGGTCAGGCGGTGGACACAGTAAGGGAGGAGTAGGACCAGTAGAAGGCGGGAGGCCAAGAACCTGCTGAAGGAGTGGAACGAAGTACGGCCGCGGCCGCGCAGCGCCTCCAGAACCAGCAGAGACAGCACCAGTACCCCCAGCTCCAGGGTCTCCAGCTCCAATATCCGAAGCACCACCAGCTCCAGCACCTCCAGCAGCAACAGCTCCAGCGCCTCCAGCTCCAACTCCTGCAGCACCACCAGCTCCAGCAGCTCCAGTACCTCCAGTACGAGCACCTCCGGGACCAGTGGCTCCAGCACCTCCAGCAGCTCCAGCACCAGCAGCTCCAGTACCTCCAGTATGAGCACCTCCGGCAGCTCCAGCACCAGCAGGACCTCCAGCAGCACCAGCTCCAGCAGCACCTCCAGCTCCAGCAGCTCCAGTACCTCCAGTACGAGCACCTCCGGGACCAGCGGCTCCAGCACCTCCAGCAGCTCCAGCACCAGCAGTACCTCCAGCTCCAGCAGCACCTCCAGCGGTAGGCCCCCCAGCTCCAGGAGCACGGCTTCAGCGCCGAGCAAACCACTTGCGCAGCTGCGGTGGAGAGAGTGGCTCCCGCCGTGACAAGACACCCGGAGGACCTCCAGAGGACAAAGTACCTCCAAGATCAGCTCGCTCAGGCTCAGCACCCCCAGGCTCAGCACCCCCAGACTCAGCACCCTCAAGCTCAGCACCCCCAGGCTCCGCACACTCAGACTCAGCACCCCCAGACTCAGCACCCCCAGGCCCAACCCCTGGCTCAGCACCTCCAGGCCCCGCACCCGCTGGCTCAGCACCCCTAGACGCAGCACCCCTAACAGCACCAGAGTCGACAGCTACCTCGACAGGATCGACAGGGTCTACCTGGGACACACCTGAGGGGGCAGGACCCTGAGGGGGGAGGGGGTCTACCGGAGGAGGACCTGGTGCGAGGAAGAGCGGCGGGGGTGGGGAGAGGGGCAGTGCGGTAGGGAAAGAGACGGTAGTAAGAAACCGACTCGTCAAACGTGACGTCCTGAGAGGACAGAACACGACGCGAGGTGGGGTGGTAAAACTGCCAGCCAGGCGCGTCAGGGGGGAAGCCAAGGAAGACGCAGGGAACAGCACGGGAGGACAGCTTGTCCGCGGAAGAATCGCGGACAAAAGCTCGAGATCCCCAGACACGGAACACAGACGCATCGCCAACCTCCCTCGTCCACCGCAGAGTAGGTGTGGTCTCCGGCATGGAGACACGGGGCTTGAGGTTGAGCTGATGCGCCGCGTACCGGACCGCGAACGGCCACAGAAAATGGGGAGCAGCCGCATGGATCATGGACGTACGAGCGACGTCCATGACCATGCCAATGCGGCGCTCAGCAATCCCATTTTGCTGTGGGGAGGCCGGAAGCGTGAACGTCTGGCGGATGCCCTCCGCACGACAGAAGGCCCTCAGAAGGTCGGAGGAAAACTCACCACCTCTGTCGGAGTGCAGACGCAGAACAGGAAGGTCCGAGCCGAAACGCTCGCTGAGCTGGCGACGGGTAGCGCGGATCCAGGTGATCAACACCTCAGTGACCTCACCCTTGCGGCGCAAGGGGAAGACTGTGGTGTAACGCGAGTAGTCGTCAACGACCAGCAGAAAGTAACGCTCGTGACCCTGTCCACGGACGCGGGCTGGGCCCTACACGTCCATGTGGAGAGTCTGCAGGGGAGCCTCCGTCGGAGGGAACTCGGAGGAGTGAGGAGTGGCGCGCTGCTGTCCATCAACGCAAGGAACGCAGGTAGGGGCAGGCCCCGGCGGGAGGGGAGGGAGAGACCGGGGGAGACCAGACACAAGGGTACGGGAGGCCATACCTCGGAGACGAGGCAGGGAGGGGTGACCAAGGCGGTGGTGCCAAAGGAGAGTCTGGTGTGACAGGAGACGACACAAGCAGGGGGCAGACTCCGGACCAGACGTGGACGCGGCAGCAATCACCTGACCAGACGCGGCTACCTGACGAGATGCAGCAATCGGAGGAGACGCGGTAGTCAGTGTGTACAGGCTCGACCCAGGCCGATGGGTGAACGTGGCCAGGTGGCGGCCCGTCCGGGTACACGTACAGTGGGTCACACGCTGACCTCCCAGAGTGAACTGGTCAACCCACACGTCTTGGAGGTCAGCTCCACTCACCAAGTTCGTAGAGAACGAGGGGAGGTGAAGACCCGACAGTGAGCAAGACGGGGCCGCTGGACACGGCAGAACCGTGGAGGAGTGCGCAAGGACGGGGCCCCCAGAGGGGTCCGCCAGGGAGACTGCAACCGGCCGACTGAGCGGCGTGAGTGTGGTGCTGTCGCGAAAGAAGGAGCGGGAAGCACCTGAGTCAAGCGTGAAGGTGTGCAAGGCCTCAGCAGGCGCAGTACCAGAGAGAGCAGACTCACCAACACCTGGAGCAGCAGACTCACTAGCACCTGGAGCAGCAGACTCACTAGCACCTAGAGCAGCAGCCTCAATGCCCGGGTCGGGCGGAACACACAGGTAACAGTCACCCTCGGCACTAATAGTCACAGCATACATGGCAGCAAGGATAGCATCGAAATCAAGATCAAAGATAGCAACACCAGACCTAAGCAGATCAGCCCAGCGAGGGAGCTCAGCGGCGTCAGGAAACTGTGCACGCCAGGCGTCAGACAGGCGACCGAAACAGCGCTGCGTAGTGTGTGGCAGCCCGCACGTCTCCCCACGGTGCTCGCCGGTGCGGAGAACGTAAGCGCAGGGACCAACACCCCCAGACCTCCCACGCCCAGCGTACCACTCACGAAGCTGCAGGGGCGACGGGGCCTCACGGGAACGCGGCTGCTGCTGTCGCTGGCTACCGCCAAAGCCTCCACGCTGCGCGGCTCCACCCCGATCAGCACCACCGCCGCCACCACCCCCACCAGCACCGCCGCCGCCGCCACCTCCACCCCCGCTGCCGCTGCCTCCACCACCTCCACCTCCGCCACCGACGCCCCCACTCCTGCCACCACCCCAACCTCCACCCCCACCCCCTCCGCCTCCTCCACCGCCACCACCGCCGCCCCCGCCGTCCCCTCCACCACCCTTGCCCCCCTTGCCCTTGCCGCTGCGGCGCCTCCCACTAGGAGCAGACGCAGCCCCGACCTCCTAGGTGCCAACGAGGTCGAGAGTTGCAGCAGAAGCAACAGAGGGCAAAAGGGGAACGGGGGAAACACCCTTCAAAGAAAGGGGCGCGAGGATCGCCGCGAGAAGCTCCTACAGCGACTATGCTAGTCTCAGCTGCAGTGAGGCGCTCCTCGAGCAGGTCGACGGTGAGCTCGGTGGGGCAAAGGGAGAGAAAGTGGTCCCTGACTGAGCGAAGGGAGTCAGGGAGACGGGTGACGAGGTAGAAGAGGGTGATGTACATGGGGGGGGGGTTCTTGGCACGAAACTAGGAGGGAAGCGCAGCGCGGTAGCGTGTGTCACTAGTGCGGAGGTGAGTGATGAGGTCAGCGACTGTGACAAAGGCGGCCAGGTCAGGGAACAAGTACGGCAGCATGAGGCGGCAAAGGGCAGCAGTGGCAGGGGAGGAGTAGCGCGCGACTACAGCGTCATACAAAGACTTAGCAGTCTTGTACTGGCCAAAGTGTGCGCGCTCAGCAGACGGCAGGTGACTACGAACAGCAAGGCGAGCAACAGCGCCACGAGTAGTCCACTGCGAGCGAACCGTACTGTCAGCAATGGCAGCAGGTGCAACAGAGGCGCCGGATGTGTGATCGAAAAGCGAGACTCCGTCCCTAGAGTCGCACTGAAGATAGAGCTGCAGGTCATCTACCCAAACGTCGAAATCGACCGCACGACCCTCAGCATCGAAGGTAAGAACAGTAGGGCTAGCCATGGCGGCAGTAGCAGCAGTACTAGCAGTAGCAGTAGGAGGAGCGCGGGGAGGGCAGCGCAGCGCAGTAGGGCAGGGCGGCGCGGTCCAGCAGAGCGGCGCGGCTCGGCAGGGCGGCGCGGCTCGGCAGGGCGGCGCGGCTCGGCAGGGCGGCGCGGCTCGGCGAGGCGGCGCGGCTCGGCTGGGCGGCGCGGCTCGGCTGGGCGGCGCGGCGCGGCAGGCAGGCGGGCGCGGCGGCGCGCTTAGCAGGGCGGGCGCTTACCACGGGCGGGTGCAGGGCAGGGCCGCGACGGGCGGTTAGGTCAGGGCCGCAACGGGGCGGCTGTAGGGCAGGGCCGCGACGAGGCGGCGGTAGAGCAGGGCCGCGACGGGGCGGCAGCAGGGCAGGGCCGCGACAAGGCGGCTGCAGGGCAGGGCCGCGACGGGGCGGCGGTAGAGCAGGGCCGCGACGAGCGGCTGAGGGCAGGGCCGCGACGGGTGGCGGCAGGGCAGGGCTGCGACGGGCGGCGAGGTCAGGGCCGCAACGGGGGGCGGCAAGGCAGGGCCGCGACGTGCGGTTAGGTCAGGCCGCGACGGGCGGCTAGGTCAGGCCGCGACGGGCGGCGACAGGGCAGGGCCGCGACGGGCGGCTAGGTCAGGGCCGCAACGGGCTGTTAGGGCAGGGCCGCGACGGGCCGGGAGGGCAGGGCCGCTACGGGCGGCAGTAGGGCAGGGCGCGCGACGGCGCAGGTGAGGCAGGCGCGAGGCGCGCTTCGGGCAGGGCAGGAAAAAAACAATTATCGTGGTGGGCCCTCAAAAAAACGTTCCCACTAGGGAACCTGCTCTGAAACCATGTCAGAAAGTAGGAATGAAGAATGACTAGAATGACAGCAGTACAGGGTTTGTATAGCAAAACCTAATTGGGCTGTACCCCATAAGGAGTGCCCCACTATAGCCTAGAGCATATAAATGCATGGTTCTGACACTTTGAAGCCGTGCTTAAAATTTTAGCCGAACATCGGTTGCTGACGAAATGTTCAAAGTGCGAGTTTTTTCAAGACCGCTTGGATTATTTTTTGCACGTCAATTCGGAGGCTGGAGTCGAGATTGACCCAAAAAGGTTAGACAAAGTCAAAGCATGGCACCCCCAACGAACATCACTGAGATGCAGAGGTTTTTTGGGTTTGTTAATTATGTGCGTCGGTTCGTCCCCGACATGGAACATTTAACCACCCCACTGACAACTCACTGCGGAAGGGGGTCGCTTTTATGTGCCGCCTTCTCTGCCCTGAAAAAAAAAAAAATGTTCGCCGCTCGTTATACGCATCGCCTACCCACACCGCCCATTCGAAGTGGTTACCGACGCCAGCGACATCGCCATTGGAGCAGTTCTGCTTCAGGACTTCGGCGACGGCTTCCATCGCATACGAGTCACAAAAGATTCACCCGCTCGAAAAGAATTACCCGATACACGACTGCAAAATTCTTGCGATCGTGCACGCGTTCAAAGTGTGGCGCTGTTACTTGACCGCCGCAGACGTGGCAGTATGGGCAGATTACCGATTACTACATTACCTCTGCACCCAACCCCACCTCAACCCACAATAAATCTGCTGGCTCGACATTATGGAGTCGTGTTTTCACTACACAGCCACCTATCAAATGGGTCCCTCCAACAGCGCCGACACACTAACCCGCCCGACTGCCCAAGTACACGCGATACTACTCGCCCAGATCAGGCCACTGCTCACAGGACTATTCACTCACGGCTACCAAATAGACCCATTCTTCATTGGCGGTAACTTGCTGCAATTCGCAGCAACACGAAGGGTGTATCACGTAAAAGCCAGCACCGGTCGCATCTGGGTACCGGGCTACCCCTTGCTGCGGGAAATATTACTACTGGAGGCACATGACAGGACCTCAGGACATTATGGAGTCGAAAAAACACGACATCAACTGGCGGTAATATCACTGGCCCGAGATGCTAACCGACGTACAGCGACACGTGATATCGTGTCCCACCTGCTAACTCATGAAGTCATTACAACAGCGCCTGGCAGGACAATTGCAGCCGATACCGCCCCTGGAGCGTCCTTAGCAGCAGGTGACGATGGACTTCGTCACAGGGTTACTGGCTGGGGCAAGTGGAAACGACGCGATCCTCGTGGTCGTCGATCGGCTGACGTAAATGGCCCATTTCGCAGCTTGCAAGAAATCAAATCTAAGCTGGAGAAATAGCTCGACTCTACATCGCCACCGTCGTTCGCCTGCACGGTATACCAGCGGCGATCTTAAGTGACCGCAACACGAAATTCACCAGCAAATTCTGGCGGAACCTGTGGCAGCAGTTCAGCACACGACTCCAGTTCAGTTCATCGTACCACTCCGAAACATAACGCACCAGTCAGACAATGGAACAGATAATTCAAGCCACGTGCGACGACTCGGGAACTTGGGAACAACAGTTGCCACTCATCGAGTTCGTGCACAACAATTCCACATC